TTGTATTTGCTTACCTGCAAAGAATTCAACAAAGATTAGAAAAAAAGAGGGCTACTGCACTACATTCTCTTTAATACTGCTTTGTCCTTACAAGAATGGCTATAGTGGTAATTAATATTTACATGATGGTAGTGCCCACAGCCCTGATCACGATTAGAGCTTACTGGACTAAGCTGTGTATAAATGTCACCAGAGTCCCTCATCCCAGTTGTTTAATCTCTGAGAAAAGAAGAGTTACCTCCTGCTTTCAATCATAGTTGCTTAAGTAATGCTAGGAAGTGTTTTCCTGGTCTATTAAGAGTTCACCTAACAAAGGTATTTGTTCAGGGTGTACTGTTGCTTGAGATGACTTTCTCAACTACTTTTCTACTACTTCATATTCTAGAAGCGGGACAGAGAATCTGGATTCCCAAACCCTTCCATGTATTTTCCTCATAGCCTACACCTACTGAGATCCATCTGAAATCATGCTGTTCCATGAGCCAAGTGTATCTAGTTTTGGATTTAGTTCACTACTAATTCCCAACACAGGTCCTCTGAAATCTAATTTAGTACCTGCCTTCTACAACGAAAAAGGCGTGTCAACCGGAGGAAAAACTGTCCAGCACTCTAAACATCTTTCAGAGGCTCATTAAAATGAGGTAGAACAGAACTGTGAAGTACTTAATACAATCAGGAAGGGATTGCTGATGTGCTGTTTTCCATGGTACCAAGCATAATGAAACAAGACAACTGACATCTTAAAAAAGTTTATCTGTCCAAGCAACAGTATGTATTATTTTGAGCTCATACAACTGTAGATGTGTAGAATCACAACCAGCTTTGTCAGGTCACAGCACTGCAGAAGATTCAAGTGGCATTCTACCTCCACTCTGGGCTACTATTTTGTTTTGCATAGGAATTGCTCTGCCTCAATGAAAAGACCCAGTGAATAACTGATGTCACAGAATGAATCCAGAAACTCTGAATTCTGAACGATCTAGCAGAGTAGTGTACCTCAATTCCAGGTACAATCTTCCCCTTTCAACACTGCATGACCTCCAGAACGCACAAGATAAATCTAAGTTATGACACTAAAGCCACAATTTCCCTATTGTTTACATGGATGCAGGTGAGGACCACCACAATCCCACCTTGTCCACAGCCTCCATCCATGCATGCTCATGCCTCTGCACTTGCACTCAGGGGCTTGCATTAAACAGTTTAGGGATAGGAACTGGCAGAAAACTCGCCTTACAAAAAGAAGTGCATTGTCTTCTGTCTGTCTGTGGCTCTGTGACTGCTATAGGGCCTGACTGTGAACACTGGAATCTGCTGTGCCACCATGTCTCAGCTGACAGGAGGACAGCAAGATCATACAGTAATTTAGGATATGGCTAAAATGAAAGCTGCCGTGGTCCCCACCGTCTGTCCCCTTTCCCATCACAGCTACTGATTCCCATCCCCTCTTCCAAGGTGCCACTGATGCCCATGCAGCTACTCAGTGATTCAGTCAAACTAACCAAGAAGTAGATTATTTTTCATCTGGTTCAGTTCCCCAAGTCAAATCCACTGGTTAGTCCCAGGAGCAACAGTGGAGGAGACAGGATGGCACAGACAAGATGTTGTGGGGCACACAGCAGCACTGCAGCTGCCCTGACAACAGCTCAAGATGCCACAGAGCTTTTACCTGTAGGCTGCAACAAAAAAGCCTAAGCAGAACCTGTCTTTCAAAAGCTTGGCAACCTTGGGCCATTCGGCCTCATAGCTCAAACAAGCACACCTGGCACTGGGAAAAATAGGGCATTATTAAAACAAAGTAACAGCAAAACCAGTAGCACCTATCTGAAATGACTTTAATACTCAAGCCAATTAAAATAAATTAAATTAATTAATGTTTTCTGCTCCTTATTCTATCAACACAATCCAATGTGAACATTTATAAATGCACTTATTAAAGACAAAAAAAAAAGGATTAGTCTTCATACACACACACAGCCTACTGCTGACACAAGCTTCTTTCCCTGCAACAACAAATCTGCAGATACATCCTTTGGAAGCTTTTTCCTGTAAGTTTGCTCCAGCTTTCTCAGAATAGAAAAAATGTGTATGTTGCTATCATCCCTTAAATCTTGATAAATATGTCCTGTAGTAGTTGTTCTTTAGACAATTCCATTCAGGCCTCTCCCCCTTTATTCCTCCCTCCACTCTAACAGGGAACAGTTTCTGTTTATGACTTCCTTTCCTTCACAGAGTACCTAACTCCCATGTTTTCTCAAAGGCTTGAGATTTCCTTCTAATTGTGACCCCTACAAAAGTGCTTGGAGCAGTATTCTGTTCAGCTTTTCATTTGGGCTCTCAGTGACTCCACATGGTCAGAGACCCACAGGTCAAACCCTCCAGATATCAGAGCAGTTAGGAGAAGGAAAGCAAGCATTGTATAGAATCTGACAGGCCATTAGAAGTAGCTAATAAAGCCATATTTTGTTTGTAGCCATTTGTTACCAACCCACATTACAAATTTGTCTGCTTTGAACTTTATGGGAACATTCATGCCAGGACTTTTATATACAATGTGTGAAGGAAACGGAACAACTATTGAGCTGTTTAGCTGTGCTTACTGTGACACAAACCTGCTGAAAAAACTCCCCCAAAAGGTGACACAAGCCAGCATTCAGTGCTGCAGAAAGTGGCCAGCTCCTCTTCAAATCCATCAAAGGGAAATTCTTTTTTTTTAAAGCCACATCAGAGAAAACCATTCACCATTTAGTATTACATCTCTTTTGTTGTTTTTTGACACTTGTATAAGCCTGCTATATAGCTGCTGTGATTTTACACAATGCCCTTAAGAAATAAAAAGATAACGGGCAAATTGTATAAATACCAGAACACCATGAAACAAGACATAACTAAATTTTATTAAAAGCCTAACACCACTGCTATAATTTCAAGCTTCACTGTACAAAGACAACTTACTGACTACTACCCTGAAGAACCACATTACCCTAAAAACAAGCTTAAGAAGCCATATTGAGTATACCAAAATGCAGCTAACTAGGAATACTGAACAAGGAATAGTGATCAAGGGTTTTCATAAAAAGTCCGAAACAGAATACAGAGCTCTCCTGCTTCAGGGAAAAACCACCATGTTCAAACCATTACCCCAAATAGACTTGTATTAAAGCTTTTAATGTATGGATCATCAAAAAACCCTTGTTGCTACATACAAAGAATTGAAGTTGTTTTTAAATTTGAAAAACAAAACAAACAAAAACTCCACAGCAACACCAAAATACAGAATTACAGTATCCTCCAATTCCCCTCCACATGAAAACAGCAGTGTTTTTTGAGTATATGAAGTGCTCTCAGGTTATGCATCAAAGCTTTTCAGTAATTAGGTGCCTCAGTAACAGCATTTGGGACCAACTTAGAGTTTAAGCTCAGTGGCCAAAATGGTTAACATTCACTGTTAATACAACCAGCTTACTCATACCTAGAATAATTATGAGCTACTAAATATACCAAACACTCAGGGACACATATAATACCCAATACTCTGCTTAAATATCTTGATGCTGTAGATAGGACAGAGCATGGATTAAAAGTAGGACAATTATTTAAGAAAAAACACAGGCAAAATTAGCAGAACATTAGTTGATAAATAACTTCACTTCTCTCTACCCTAATAAACACTGTTCATGAAAAACTGGGAGATTTTCCCAGTCCTTTTTAGTATCCCTGCTTTTTAAATTAGGTAGTTGTTGCCGAAACAGTTCAATGTCCACAGGAGCTCCTACTTTAAAGGTAACTGCCAGCTTCCATTTTTGAGAACTGTTCAGACAAATTAGTCTGTTTAAAAAAGGGTTCATGAAAAACTGTCAAATTAATACTAGGTTCAAAGCAAATGAGTATCTTTTCTCATACCAGTTTCCATAGCTTTTCCAGAGACTTGCATGTCTCAAACGTCATGTAAAGAATTTGTAGCACCTATTTGTAGCACACCTCTCCTAGGTGCCAAAGATGTAACTTTAAAATGTGATGAAGATGTTTATGGCCCCGTTTTTATGGATTTACAATTGTGCCATGTGCCAGAGGTAATATATACAACATACTACCAAATTTCACAAATACATGTGGTATCTTGATATAGTAAACTTTTCAGAGAGATCCCTCTGCCAACTGAAAATGAACACCTACCTAGTGAACTGTGGGAAATATCTTACATGTTTCTGACACATTATTCCAAGCCAGAGGTCACATAGTTTATAAAGTTTTCATCATTTAAGCTGAATATACTCTAGCTGGTTTAAATTCATGCTGGTTTATACCAACAAACAAGAAAATCCCCAAACCACAAGGAGCACACAGAAACAAGGCTAAGTACTTTGTCCATTATAAGACCTTCAAAAATGCAAGTAGCTGCAATGCCTTCACAACGTATATTAATTTGTGCTGTTTCCCCCACAGCAGAATGTGTAGAGCTCAGAAAAGCTGATAAATATTAGTCCAAAATAACCTCCTAAACAAAAATCAACCTAACCTAAGTATTGCTGTAATTCATGCTTCCACAGTTGTGTACAATAGGTAGTAGCAGAATTAACATGTCAAACTCATTACTGATGATCAGGGTTGGGAACAGACAACTCTTGGTAACAGTATTCTAAACCAGAACCTACTGAAAACATTTGAAAAAGGACACAGAAAAAAAGTTTCTTCCTCACCAGACTGGTTTCTGCAAGTATGGAATTTCTGAAGTTTAAAAAATCAATTTCCTCTATGCAAATATACATGTGCAGAAGCACAGAACATGCATGCGCGTAAATAGTGCCGTTCTGAACCAGCTTAAGCCAAGTCCACACATATACAAGCTATATGTTCCCATATTTTAAAAAACAATTTTTCATCAACCTTATTTAGTATTTCTTCTTTCACTACTTCTCATCTGCTCATCCCAGATGCAATGAAGCAGTATGTAAAGTGCTTTCAATTTTAAAATACTGAAGCAAACATTATTTTCTTACTGGTAAGCTTGATGGTCTTTCTTGCTGGATTAGATTCAAGTCTTCATGGTTAGGCTTTCCTGGGGCCATAGGGGGTTGAGATCTGGTTCCATAGCCTTCCTGAGACATGTCCTGCAACAAGAGTTGTAAAAGAATTATTAACCTGACTCAGTAATTATAATTAAATATGCATCACAGAAGGGTGAAAAAAACAACAGCTGAGTGCTGATGGTTTTTTGATCTGAGGTTTTTACTAGTTAAACCTTTCTGATACAAGTATCAAGCCCACTATGACATGTGCTGTTTGTAAAGTAAACCAGGGAGCTGAGATGCATGCCAACAACCAGCAGGGAATCATACCACTGGAACATGGGAAAACACACAAAACCAAAGCTCTAAAATAAACAGCCCCATTTTACTGTAAAACAGTAAGTAGTAAGTGCAAACATTCATCCTACTCTAAGACGTATTCTCTAGTGTTTTGATAAAGTACTGAGCCAGGTGGAAGACTGGACTTGAAAACAGGATTGCAATCACACTGTGTAATCAGACTCCTGTAACAACCCTGGATTTACCATCAGTACTACTGGCGCAATTTTCAAACCCTGGCCATGAGGTCATAGCACACAGCATAGTTGCTGCATCTGCTGCAGCCAGCCACATTCTGTCTGAAGGGTTAGAGGGCACGTGTATTTGATCAAGAGTAGCTTCAAAGCCTGTACCAGTAACCTGGGGATTTTCCTCCCTACACAAGCCCAAGCAGTCCTAGTTAATGGCCCAACACAACACCCACCATGCACGGGTGGGGGGAGCAATGAAACAACCTCCTGTCCCGCACCCCATCCCCCACCCCCCCGCACAAGCTCATTTCCCACGCAGAGATACTTGCCCATTGCAAAGCCTCAAATTCAGGCTTCATTTTAGCTTCTATAGCAGCTTCTACACCAGCTTCTTTAGGGAAAACAACAGAAAGCTCAATACTAACTTCAGCATGTATAACTGGCAGGGAAAGTTGAAGAACCAGTTCCTGCTAGAAAAGATATGTCACTTTTTTCTTTGTTTTTAAATTATTTAACTCTCCTCTCCCATTCCCTAGTCTACTACCAGTTCAGTTTCCTTCAGCCATCCTCAGGCCTTCGATTTTGTAGCGTACCTGAAGCAGGCAGGAGCTGCAAGGCACAGAAGGATAGGGCAAGCTGCCCTCTGCCCCACCCCACCATCACCTTGCCGCTGCCTGTGCAGGGCTGCTCAGGCAGCCCAGTGCCCACAGCCACAGCTGCAGCTCATGCACAGCCTCCAGAAGGCAGCTGGCTGGCAGAGCAGGAAAGCTTTCTGTCTCCAGTTTTAGCCCAGCTTCTGACAGAGAGAAATTTGTTAACAACTGTACCATTTCCATTCAGCCCCTTCCACCCATTCGGACTCTCACAGATTATTTTAAGGGATGTGGAAAATTCAATGGGGCTAATTAAACAAACCCCAGCAAACTTGATACGATATAAACCCAGCAATAAATGACCCTATTCCTAAGCCTGTGCCAAGTAAAATCAAGAAACACTTAAAAGGCCAGCACTTCAATGTGGTTACCAGCAGAGGGTAACAATTAGGCTTAAGGGTGACAAAGGCTGATGGCTGAATGATTATTATCCCCTGTGACCCCCCGCACTCCCTCCCGCCCAGATTTCCACTTGTCACACAGCTCTCCTGCTGCGCACACCAGCAGGTTCCTGTGGATTAACAGTGAGGTTTAAAATCAACAAATGGCACAAGGCCTCCATTCAGCAGCCTTCACCCCAGTACAAAGGAGTAGAAAGGTGCAGGACAGCTTCACAATAGGCAAACAAATGAGCAAACCTCTGCTTTCCTTTTTATTTAAAAACACACACGCACACACACATACACACGCACACACACACCACGCTCACGCATGCTGGGGCTGTCACTACACAGGCATTCGCAATAAACCCAGCAACCCCAGATTTCAACTTCCAATTCAGTGTTCAACGCTCTTCTTCCTAATTCTTAAAAAATTACACCAAATAAAAACCACTTGTCAAAACAACAACAACAAAAACCACACAGTTATACCAAGAGTGGTGAAAAAGGATAAATGGAATATCCAGTTTAGGAGACGTCACTGTAGAAACACAATTGTTCCTTTTTCCAAACAGACGCTACAGGATTTTGCTGGGAAGCAGAACATGTTTTATATATTGAAAAATCAAGAGCCATTACTTCCTTAGAAAGTACCAAGCATGGGTTTTCCCACATGTTTGCAAGACTTTAACCTTGCTTCCTACTGAAATTTCCAGGGAGACCAAAGCAGGAGAGAGAAGAGACAGCATTCTTTCTCATGAGAAATACTGCTGGTTGAATGGAATTTACTTTTACCTGGGTATTTGAAGACAATGTATGAAATGTCTTTCCACACACTGAAGAGTACATTAAAACCCCAGACACAACACTCTTTGTCTTTTTAGATGCACCGTTTTCATAGAGCTTTCCTTTCTGTCTGTAAAAAATCAAATCCATTTGCTCAGCTCTAAGTGAGGTTTGGAAGCACACAGACATTTGTGATTGTTAAGGATGCAGGCACCTGTGCACTCCAAATGGGACTGAGATCACAAACTCATTCTCTGTTAAGCTATGTAGATACTTGGATCACTAGAAACTTGGAAAGCAGCTCTTGAGAAGTAAAGGATCAGTTTGCTCTCAGTAAGCTGCAGGCATGGGAATCTCCCAGATGAAATATGCATGGGACTGTGTGTATAATTTTATCTGTTTATACACATGTATTGTCCAATAAAAACAGTCCATTTATATCCTAAACATAATGATTAAATAATAGCATATTTCACTAAGAGGTTGGCTTCATAACCAGAGTAGTACTTAGTATCATTTTCACTGAAAACAGAAGAGAGAAAATTCCTACTGCCTTTCTTCACTTCAGCATTTGGAAATTTTGTTAACATACAGCATATTACAGAACAGCTACAACAGATTTTGAGAGATAAATAAGAAATAAGGACAGAAGTATTAGAGTAAATTGTCTGTCACAGAGGAAATGCATGGAATTGGCAATTCTCGCAGCTTTGAAAGGTCATTTTTCTTCCTAGCATCTAGGAATGGATTTATCGGGGACTGAACAGAGGGAACATAAGGGTAAGAGGAACATGTTACCACGTGTTGTGCTACAGTCATGGCTGAGGAATTCCCCATTGATACTGGGGCTCAGTCTTCTCCTGGGATTCCTGACTTTTTTTTGACTCCCAGTATTTCATCCATCATTGACATCAGCTTTCAAAATAAAGCTTATGATTTTTTATGAATCACAAAAAATCCTTCCTCCCATAGATGAGCATGTGTGTAAGACAGAAACCCAGGCTTTTATAAACAGAAGGCTACAAGTTTCCACTCAGAACTTCCCAGCTTGGCACAAACCCAATCATATCATAGCTGTTACAGTATAAACTGTCAACAAAGTTGTAAAATAACTAAAGTCAGGGTTTCCCCCATCAGATTTTAGAAAAGCACAGGGACAAATAATCAGCAAGTCATAAATATATACTCAAAATAGCGGAGGTTTAGACTTTTTTAGACTTCTGAAAACACATTTATGATTAAAACAGGTAGACCAAAAAAAAAAGGACTATACAGAGCCTAAAGCCTAGATAGATATTGGGTAAGCTGTTCAGAAATTGATCCATAAACAATTATTATATTTGGGAAGCAGCAATATTAACAGCAACCAATTGCTTATCATCCACAGAGCCTGGACTAGCTATTCACCTCCTATTTATGTACACTTTCAGCTTTTTCTGCAAGTTGAGGTATATGGAACTCAAGATTTCTGTAGTCTAACCAGTAAGGGAGGAAATGGGATATTTTCATCCCTCTTGTTCTCTGTTACTGTGTTCATCTTATAGACTTTCAAAGTCTCTGATTCTGGTGTGGGATTTCACTACCACAGAGGTTTAAAGCGACAGAGTGAGCCTCCATACTGGCCTGCAATAATGTCAAAGGCTCTTTGTTCCTGCCTCCCACAACTCTTGCAGCTGGACACACATCCCTTAGTTTGTGTTAGTGGTCTTTATCAGACCACTTTGTTAGATGGTGCAACTTAAAACTTGCCAGGTAAGTAACCCCTTCCACCTCAGCTTCATCATGGCTTACTGAGTAGAGCTGGCCTTGGGAAGGGCTGGGTGAGCAAGAGAGGAAGGAAACTTCCCTTCTCTGGCAGCAGCCAGCCATGAGCCTGGCTCCACACTTGCAGGACTCAATTACACTGCAAACACTTTGGAGCAGGCCACTGCCAGACGGCTTTTTCCCTTTTTCCTGTGCAGTGGTAATTAGTGCCATGCTTCCATTCTCTTGCTGGACCTAGCCTGAGACAAGCATGCCTGTCCGCATGGATGTGTTCTCGGCAAATCTGAATGGATACAGCGCCAAAAATGATTAAAACCATGTAGATGAAATGCACATTTGTTTTAAGTTTTGCCAAAGGAGATTAGATCTAATTATTAAATAGTTTAAATTATTTTTAATGGAAAATGAAAGCATAGTGAAAATATTAATGTTTGAGGGGAAAACCACATTTAAAGGAGGGCTGGGTGAGAAATATCATTCAGGATTCATTCACTTCTACTGCAGTGAGTTTTAGAGGGATAACATGACCACCCAGGAAGATAAGTACCATGATGGTTAAACAGAAAGAAGATAGTTTATTGAAAATAATATGCTAGAATTCAATCTGAAAAAAACTCATTAAAAACTATTTGAGCCCATGTTCTTGATTCAGTGGGTAATCTTAAGAAGACTTCAAGTGTAAGAGCAGTAAATTCTATAGCAATGTGACAACAGCAAAACTGAAAACAAATGTTAATATTTTTTTTTCCCCCCTCAGACCACTTGAGAATGGAAATCAGAACCCAGCAGAGCAGCCAAGAGAAGTAGACAGCCCTACAATACAAGAGTATTTTACTCATCTCTGAAGGAATGCTGCTGAACAGAAAGAAGCCAAGTGATATGTTAGGGGCCATGCTAGGACATACCTTGTTACCACTCAATCAAGCATCTGTTAATTCTGTGTAGATAAATATGTATCACACGTCTCCCCTGTTTCCACCTTCTGCACT